GAGTGTCTCTACTCTCCTACTTCATATATGTAGAATGACCAAAACATTTTATGAGAGTGAGCCTTATAAAAGTTGGAAAATGTAGAACAGCTTCTGGGACTACTTTAATGACTATGGCTATTGGAAGAAGCCTGCAAAACAAGAAAGGAAATCTCATTTGTGTAGAGAATGGAAGAAACATACAGATAACTTGTAGTTAGCATGCATTTAAATTGATATGGTAATGATACTTTGGGTCATATATTTATGTCCTTACTATTTAGATTAATAACTTTGTACAGTCAAGGTACAAAAGGTGTTAATATTTGATGGAAAAGAGGCATTCACAATGAGTATGTCAGTGTGACTACCTTATTTACTCTTCACAACAACCCTGTAGTTAGCGTATTTGTCTATAACTATGGATGAGAAAAATGAGACATAGAGGAGTTAAATAACTCATGTAAGATATTTAGGGTCCTCTGGCTATAAATGGTGAATTAAGATTTTTAAACCAACTACCAGACTTTAAAAACTCATTTTTCTCTCTAATATTTTCTTACAGTATAATCCTACAATTGGATTACTAGGTTAAATTATATGAACATTTGACCCAGTCACTTTCTTTCTTTTTTTTTTTTAAATTTTTATTTATTCATTCATTTTTTAAATTTGACCAGAGAGAGAGAGACACAGAGAGAGAAGGAAAGTGAGAAACCAAGTCACTGGGACTCAAACCATGGTTGACCATGTGGGAGTATCTAGCACCTTAACCACCATACCACCTGCTGGTCCCCCCAGTGCTTTCAAAAGAATTGAATCCATTTTCACTGTCGTTTTCAGAATTTGCAACAGTCTCCATTAGACCCCTATATTAGTTTTTTAATCCCATAATGTAGGTTGATATTCAAGAATGGCATTCGTTAATATAAAATTTAGTCATTAGAATATTTATATACTCAGAGTTCTTTTATATATTTGTGAAACTTCCTTTTGTTTTCTTTTTATAGTAGGATTTTGAAAGATGAGTAAATATATTTTACAATTTAAAATAGTCTTTTTTAACAGTACCTTTCATATTAGAGAACATTCACCAAGAAGGAAAAATGTTGGTTCATATTCATATGTCTGTTCAGATATCTATATTTAAATTTCTCTTCTAGGAACCAGCAGTTTAGTGTAATGGCTGTGTCGATGAACTCCCATGTAGTCGACCACGGTTCAAATCCTGGAAGCGGTGGCTTAAACTCACACCGGGTGCATGTGTGTGCATTCCCAAGATCCCAAGGGGGGAATGGAGGAGAAGGGATTGAGGCGTGGCCATCCCCCCTTTGGGGGATGATTTCTTGCTTTCTATCTCTCTCTGTCTCTGTCTTTCTGGCAAGCGCATGCACCCTATAGAAAAAAACCTCTTAAAAAAAAATTCTCTTCTAAAGTAAATTTGCAATGTAGCATAAATTTTAAATTTTGCACTTACACAAAATAATAATTTCACAAATTATTTTATGAAAATATATTGAATATAAGGGACTATTGGCTCACAAAACTGGAAACTTAATGAGAACAATTACTCATACTTATTTCTACATTTTAGCCAGTACTTTTCACTAGCAACCTAGTAAAAACATTGAGTCACAATGTGTGTGATTATCTACTGAAACTGTTGTTATTCAGAACTAAGAAAAGTTGAAAATATTTTCAACACTGATCATTTTATTCTCCTTTATCTTTCAGAATGATTGACTGGTTGTCTTGGCCATTGGCTCAGCATGTTGATACCTGGGTAATTGCACTTTTAAAAGGACTGGCAGCTGTTCAGAAGTTTACTATTTTGATAGATGTTACTTTGCTGAAAATAGAATTGGTAAGTGGGACTATGTAAATCTACTAGAATGTATGAATGCATATAGTCAGTGTTTTGATCTTTGGGTTGTTTTCCTTAATACACCAAATTTTGAACATGTTCTTATTTTTTGTTTCATTTCAAATAATCATTTTATACAGGCTTCCTGAAATTATAAAAAAATTCCATTTGTTTAGGTAATTAACATAATTTGGCTGATTTTAAACATCTAGTACAAGAACACATTTCCCATTATCTCTTGAATCCATCTCATCAAGCTTTTACCACAATTATTCTACCAAAATTACCTTTGACTCTAGTACTTTCAGTGTTGCTAAATCAAATGTTGCTCGGGCCTCTTCTGACTTGACCTGTCAGCAGCATTTGACACAGTTGATCACTCCCTCATGAAACACCTTTTTTACTTAGTTTCCAGGACACCATACTCTCCTAGTTTTTGTCCTAGTTCACTGACATATCAATCTCTTGTACTTGTTCTAACTTCTAAATGCCTCAGAGTTCAGTCTTTGGTTTACTTTCTATTCAACCTATACTCACAGCACAGCTGTCTCATGGCTTTAAATAATGTCTATAATTTAATGACTGCCAGATTTATATTTCTAGTTCAGTGTTCTCCTTTGACTCCATATTCAGTATCCAATTGGATCTCAACTCACTTCATTCACAATCTATTCAATAATTCCTGATTTTTCCCTTCCAAACCTGTTTTCTATCCCAATAAATAGCTACTCTATCCTTCCATTTATTCAGGCCAAAAACCATAAAGCTCTATTTGTCAGGGACCAGCAGTTGGTGTAATGGCTATGTTGCTGGACTCCCATGTAGTCAACCGTGGTTCAAGTCCTGGACCCGGTGGCTTAAATTCACACCGGGCACATGTGTGTGCGTGCCCAAGATCCCAAGAGGAGAAGGGATTGTGGTGTGGCTATCTCCCCTGGAGGGTGATTTCTCGCTTTCTGTCTCTCTCTGTCTTTCTGGTGAGCGCACGCGCCCTATAGCAAAAACCTATTTTTAAAAAAAAAAAAGCTATACTTGTCTTTTTATTCTCTCTCAGCCCATTTCTTAAAAATCCCCTGACTGCACCTTTAAAATATATGCAGAATTCTACCACTTCTAACTAGTTGTATCACTACCACCCTGGCTTAAAGTCATTATCATTTTTTGCTGTACTGATTGCAATAGCCTTCCTCCTACTCCTCCCCTTAATCTCTTATAAATATTACACAAGGTCCTACATGATCTGACCCACCAACTGCTTCTGGGATCCTCACTATTCTTGCCTCTGTCTCTTGCTTCACTTACACTGTCTCCTTGATCTATCTGTAGCACTTTAGTCCCAAGGCTATAGGGCAGTACTGCTTGCCCTGCTCACAGTACTCTTCTCTGAGGTATCTCACATTTTTAGTTGTATAGACAGATGTCACCTTTTCGTGAGACATTTTTTTCTTTTCTTTTGTTTGTTAATGCCAGAGGATGCATGCTTGTGGAGAGAGGGACAGACAGAAAGCCTACCCTGGGAACACAGTTTGACAGATTTTTATTTACTCAAGGCATTTTTCCTTTGATCTGACATGTTATTTCCTAACTTTCTCCCTCCCCCACAAATTGAATAACGTATGTTATGATAGAACTTTCCAGAAAAAAGGACATGCATGTAAATTATTTTTTGCCTTAAAAAATAGCCACTGGATTCCATTTAGTAGAGGAAAAAAAAAAAAAATGAAGGTTTTTCTCCTGAGACTTCTCCCTCCAGATTCATTTCTAGTGGGAAAGGCACAAACCCAGGCCCTTCCTGAGATGGGTACCAAACTTGAGCTGTGAAATATTGCTTTCCTTGACTAAAAATGAAGATTTTCTGTTGAGACTTCTCCCTCCAGATTCATTTCTAGTGACCTCTACGCACCAAGTGTCTAGACAGGTCCAAGTGAACAGGATCCAAACATGTGAATACAATGAGGGTCAGAGTATTCTTCTGTTCCCACTGAATCTGATTCACAAAGAGTGAAAACGGAACGGAAGAGAGATTGTAGATCACCTCCTCCCGCACACCTCTGAATGCTCAGATTGAACTTCAAGAATTAGGAAGAAATGGGACCAGCAGTTAGCATAATGGCTTTGTTGCTGGACTCCCATGTAGTCGACCGCAGTTCAAGTCCTGGACACCCAGTGGCTTAAAACTCACACCAGGTGCATGTGCGTGCATGCCTAAGATCCTGAGAGGAGAATAGAGGAGAAGGGATTGCGATGTAGCCATCCCGCCTGGTGTGGGGGGAGGTGATTTCTTGCTTTCTCTGTCTGTCTGTCTGTCTGGCAAGCGCACATGCCCTATAGCAAAAATAAAAAATAATTACGAAGAAATGCACCATCCATCAGATGACTGCATTATACAAGAAATATGGGAAAGCAAGAAAATACCTCTCCTCCAAGGGAAAACAATAACTTCTCTTTATCCTCAGATAGTACAATGGAAATGTCAGATAAAGAATTTAAAATATTCGGAGCCAGCAGGTGGCATGGTGGTTAAGGGTGCTGGACTCCCATATGGCCAACCACAGTGAGTCCCAGACCTGGCGGCTTGCTTTGTTTCTTTCCCTCTCTCTCTCTCACTCTGCCCCTCTCTGGCCAAATAAAAAATAAATAAAGTTAAATAAAATAATTCTAAATAAAAATAAATGAATTTAAATAAAATAATTATTTAAAAAATGAATTTAGAATATTTATAGTAATGAAGCTAACAGAAATAGAAGAAAAGATAAAAGAGGAAATACACACTATAAAAAAGAATCAAATGGACCTGTTAGAGATAAAGGCTATAATACAGAAAGTCAAAACTTCCCTTGAAAGTATTAAAAGCAGACTAGATCATACAGAAAATCGAATCTCAGGTGTACAAGATAGAATCACTGACCTAGAAAAATCCACCACAAAGACTGAGAAAATTGCCCTCCAAAAATGAGAATAATATACGAGAAATAGTAAACACCATTAAACGTCCAAACATCTGGATAATTGGTATCCCAGAAGGCTAAGAGACTCGTAAGGACAATGATAATCTATTCTATAAAGTCCTGGAAGAAGACTTTCCAAACCTAGAGAGGCATTCAAAGATCCAGTCCCAAGAACTACAAAGGGCCCCAAATAGAATCAACCCAATAAAATCTTCTCTAAGACACATTATAGCCAGATTGACCAAAATCAAAGACAAAGATAAGATCCTAAGATTGGCAAGAGAGAAACATCAAGTTACCCACAAAGGATATCCCATCAGGCTAACAGCGAACCTCTCACTGGAAACAATGCAGGCGAGGAAAGAATGGGAAAATACATTCAAAATGTTAAGGGAAAAGCAATTTCAACCAAGAATACTCTACCTGGCAAGATTAACCTTCATATGGGAAGAAAAGACAAGAACATACTCAGATAAATGAAACCTGAAAGAATTTACCAACACCAGACCAGATCTCCAAGAAGTTCTCAAGGGAGTGCTATAGCAGGAAAATTAAATATAAACACAAAGAAATAAATTCAAAAACTAAAAAAATGGCCATGTTAATCATGGGGACAAGTTTGGAGTTGAATATAATACCCCAGAATTTATTTGGAAAAACCGAACCACAATAGATGATAGAATGAGAACGTGAGACTGAATTGGTGAAACAGAATTTTACGACTTTTGACTAAAACATTGCTGATTTTCTTCTGGGCTTTGTTTTCTGGTTTTAAGGATTTTTGTCTTGTCTTGAGCTGTTGATAGGTTCATGTACCTACTATTTGAACAGAATCCTAACCTATTTCCTGGCTTTAAGTTTTAAGCAAAGTTCCTTAGCATTTCTTTGATTTACTAAAGCTAAAACTGCTTTTCTTAAAATTAAAAAATACATTTAAAAATACCTATTTAATGACCATAGTAAGCTATATAGCATCAGCTAGGTGCTACCTTTTATAGTATATTCATTCTACTCAGTTTCATGCCTAAAGTCAGGGATGTATTCACAGATATGTATATACCAGCTGAAGTTGCTATTGAAAGTAGTTAGATTATTTAAGAAATTTTATGAATGGGGGGGGAAAGTGGGGGGGGCGTATATTTATATATATGAAACTAGAAATGGAAAATTATTGATGATAACATGTATGATTAAGCCACTATGCAGTATATTCTAGATGGGAAATCACATTTTATATGCTGTGATGATGTTCAGGGAATGAATGTAAATTAATTAATTAAAAATTAAAATTAAAAAAAAGAAAAATAGCTACTGATTGGGTTGATGAATTTTTTGCAAATTATTAAGATGAGTGTCTTATTTTCTTTTGAAGGTTTTTAATCGACTTTGGTTTCCTCTTGTGAGACCTGGTGCTCTCGCTGTTCTTTCTCACATGCTGCTTAGTTTTCAGCATTCTCCAGAGGCGTTCCATTTGGTAAGTTACAACACAAGTTTTCTACATCGAAAAAGCCTTGTTTTTAAAGTTTGATTTAATACTGAGTCACATTTGTGTATGGTAAAAGATTTAACTTTATTTATTTATTTAAATTTGACCAGAGAGGGACAGAGTGAGAGTGAGAGATAGAAAGTGAGAAAGTGAGCCATCAGGTCCAGGACTCAAACCGCGATTGGCCATATGGGAGTCCAGCGCCCTTAACCGACATGCCACCTGCTGGCCCCAGTTGTAGGCTATCTTAATCTAACTTTTCACATACCTTTATGATTTCATAGAAGATCCAATTTGTTGGACTTGCCTCCAAGGAATATATTTTTAGAACATTGTGTGTTTCACCAAAACTGCCCCACTTGTAACACTACCAATAATTGAAAGTCACTGCTCTACATGAGAGATGTCACTGATGGATGTTTCTAGCATTAAAAACCACTGAAAACTACTGAATGCTTTATAATTTCAAAAGCATAAAAATATTAATTTTGCTTTCCCCCTCAAAATTCAAGCTTCTCATTCTTTCTCAGCCTACATTCTACAAATCCTGTTGACTACATTCTTAGAATATATACAGAATTCTACCACTCTAAATCACCTACATCACTGATTTACTTTAAACATATTTTTTTGAGAGGTTTTGCTATAGGGCACGTGCACTCACCAGAAAGACAGAAAGAGACAAAGAGATAGAAAGCGAGAAATCACCCCCCAGGGGGTATGGCCATGCCGCAACTCGTTCTTCTCCATTCTCCTCTTGGAATCTTGGGCACGCACGCACACACACTCGGTGTGAGTTTAAGCCACCAGGACCTGGACTTGAACCACAGTCAGCTACATGGGAGTTCAGCGACATAGCCATTATACTAACTGGTAGTCCCTTACTTTAAACATTTTTATAATCTCTGATTAGTCACTTATGCTATACTCTAAACCTTTTTCTTTGCTCACACCATTTTAAAATATGGAAGCGATCTCTTTATCTTGTATTGTTTTTTTTCCCCCTGAAAAAAAGTAGTTGAATAACAAATGCTTGACTTTGAAATATTTGACTTATTACACTAAATAATTAAAATCACTTTCTTAAGGAATAGTTAGATCTAAAATTGAAAATTGTAATATGCTTAGTAAAGCCTGAAAAAAAAGACCTAATTACTGTTTAAATAAAATGTATAACCTGACGCCCTACTAAACTTTAAAAAAAATTGGATACTCGGTAGTAGGTCATGGGGTGATTAAACCTATAATTCAATAAAGGATGTAAGTTTAGGAGTTATTAAGTATTTGACAGCAGTAATTTGGAGCCAATACAATCATTATTCATTACATTAAATGTTTAGAATATTTGAGTGCAAACCAAGATTCATGTTATAATGTGTGTTGTTATGAGCCAAGTTACTTTTCATATGCCTTTTTTAAGTAGAAAAAAATGTACAGAAGCTATGGCAAGTAGTAATAACAGAGAAAACACTATCAGAGCTTCTAATTAATTTTTATACAGTTCCTCAAATAGTACCTTAAGTTTAGTGAATATAATAATAATGTCTGGAAACATTTAGATTCACTCATTCAGCAAACAAATTTTGAAGCATTTCGATGGTAACAAGACTGCTTAGAAGTTTATCTGTATGACTATAAAGAACTAAAGCATATCCGTGTCAGAGGTAACATTGGCCACTTAGGGTGTAGTAGTAATCTGATTATAAAGACCAAATCTACGCAAGAAAAACTTTCCAAAGATTTTGAATTATGTATTTAAAAATCATTTTAAAAATCCTTTCAGGGCTAGCAGGTTGTGTGGTAGTTTGTGTTAGACTCCCATTGACCATGGTTCAAGTCCCAGACCTGGTGGCTTTCTTTCTCATTTCCCCTTTCTCTCTTTCTCTTTCTGGTGAATTCACATGCCCTGTAGCAAATTAAATAATAATAAATAACTAATTCTTCCTTTAAAAATCTTTTCTTCTCTTTCATCTCTCTCTCCCTTTATATCTGAAAAAAAGATAATTTTGGATTTCTGCCTATTGTAGCTGGAAGGTATTAGATGGCTTCATAGCCTAGAATTATAGTTCATATTTGTTTAGAAAGGTGAAGATAATAGCAGTAAGTAAACTTACCAGGAACCAATACAGTTTTGTGATTATTTTCATACTTTTGCAGGAGGTAAAATTGGAGAAGATAGTGCAAAAGCTAAAATGTAATTTAAGATCTCAAATACACAAGAGCAAATCTAGACAGAGCTGAATGGAAATTGCAATGTTAATTTAAGAATATGACTATTAATAATGTTAATATAAGTAATATGTTAATTTTAAGAATATGACTGTTAATTATATTAATGTTATTTTTGTAGGGAGAGGGGAAAGGAGTTGATAACATTATTAATATAATTGCTGTTATTGCTATTTGATGATGTGAACATAGAGCTATAATTTTTTTTATCAGGAATTAGCAACCAAAAATATATTCTACAAACAGAACATCATAAGGTGTCTTTTACCATACAAGTGTAAATATACAGGGCCAGCCCTATAGCTCAATTGTTGAGCCAAATCCCACATGGCCAACTGAAATTCAAATCTCAGCCCCAGTGGCCTGAAAAACACACAGGCGTATGTGCATGTATGCCCCAAATCCTGAAGGGATGGAGGAAAAAAAGAATATGGCATAACCACATCCCTTGGGAAGTCCTCTTTCCCTCTCTGACTGGTGCACATGTATATGTAGTTTCGGATTATAATTATTAGTTGGATAAAGTATAGTACCATACTAGTGGAATGAGCCATTTCTGCTAAACAGAATTTATTTTGTTAATACTCTCTTAAATATATAATTGGCTCTGTATTAATTGCTGTTTAGTCGTCTTTTATAATGAAAGGACATTGTGCTGATTATCACTATTAATAGTTTTCTTTAGGGGCCAGTATGTGGCGTAATGGTTAAGGCACTGGACTCCCACGTGGCTAACTGTGGTTTGAGTCCCAGCGTGGCAGCTTGAACTTCATGCTGGGACCCAGCACATGCATGTGTGTCCAAAATCCCAGGAAGAGAATAGACAAGGGGTTGCAGCATGGCCATCCCTCTTGCAGGATGATTTCTCACCTTCCTCTCACTGTCTGTCTCTTTCTCCCTCTTGTGAGTGCATGCCGCTCTATGGCAAAAGCCTTAGAAAAAAATGCTCTTAAAATGCTCTTCATTCCTATGAGTAATGAGCATTTTAGATTTCTCTTTCTACTTGTAGCCCAGTTTCTTAGCAATAATAGAAATTTCTAATTCCTTGATTTTTAAACTCATCTCCTCCTTTGAAGGTTTTTTTAGAAAAGATAACAGTCTGATATAAGATAGTCCCTTTGCTTATCTAAAAGAAAAGTAATCTTGGTACTTGATCTGTGATTTTAGTTTCCTGTATAAATTAGCAGAGTATGAATAATTCTCTCGGGAAAATTTTTAAATTTACACTAGGTGGCGCTCCTTAGCTAATTTATGGGGTTTTTTGTTTTTGTTGTTTTTTTCTTTGTACCAATTTGTTCCTGTTGAATGATCTGGTAAATATACTAGCCCTAACATTTTTCAGCTTATGGCATTTTTTAAAATGGCAACCATGGCTAAGAATCCTATTTTGTTATGTATCTTAGCTTGTGTTTTAGATAGGGTATAAGAATGAGGAGAGGGGTCTTATATGGAATAACAATCATGGGTAACTGAACATTAGATTTCCCTTGATGCTCTAGAAACTTTGACTTTATAACTTCTTTAGAAAAAGGCTGTGACTGAACCTAACAGAGTGTTATTTGCTTGATTGTATAAAATATGCATTCTATTTGTAGGTTAGAAAATTTGTGGCCAGTATAAACTAAGGAATATTTGTCTTTTTTATTCTCAGATTGTTCCTCATGTGGTTAATTTGGTTCACTCTTTCAAAAATGATGGTCTACCTTCTAGTACAGCTTTCCTGGTGCAGTTAACAGAATTGATACAGTGTATGATGTATCATTATTCTGGATTTCCAGATCTCTATGAACCTATTCTGGATGCAATAAAGGTAAGGATCATTGCATCAGTGTTTGTGGAATTGTAGATCACAACATGATAGGTACATGATGGGATAGGTAAATGTGGTAAAACATTCAAATAGCCAGCTGTTTGATTGACTATTTTATGAAAATGTATTTTTTGTTTGAAAAATGCAATTAGAATTAGGTTTCATTGGTGTTTAAGGAGATTACTCCTTAAACTTCATAAAGTACAGCTTAATAAAATATTTTACTTTGGTTTCTTGTCCTTTTTTTCTACTTTTGCTCTGGGCTGTTCATGAATGTGAGTATATCATAGACTACTTAAATTATTTGTGGACTTAACCTTGTTTTTCAACTTTGTATAGGTAATGGATTCTAAAAGGCACTCATTCTGTTTGTGTTAAAGGATAGATGAAAATAAGCATGCTTCCCTCCATAAACTCAGTATAAAATCAGGGTGTATAGCAACATATTGGAGAACTGGTGTCAGCCAGAGTTAGCCAGAAGTTATTAGAAATCAGTTCCATTAATAATGTTCCTTTTTTGAGATCTGAAATACAAGGTTTCATTACCATTACTTCTTCTGTATCAAATGTTATTTTTACTATTAGCAAAATTAAACCAATTTTGGTTGATCCCAGAACACAAGACAGTTAAGCAAGTAAGGTATACCACTGCTGTGACACTTTGATGCTTCAGAAGTAGATTATATGCAAGGTGGATTTGGTGGTAATGTTAATGTCTTTCTACATCGTCATTGTGGCATAGATAAAAGCTGGTACGCTTTTCAGTTGATTGCATTCTCAGTTCTCCCGTGTTTTTCATGTTGAAAATGCTGATAACTCACATGGGCTTAGAAGAAGCAAGGAGCTCACTCTTAGCCCAAGGAAAGCACTTTCTATTAGCCATCAACAACAAAGAAATCAGAAGATCAAAATTCCTTCAGAAGGGAACCAGCAGTTAGCGTAATGGCTATGTCACTGGACTCCCACATAGTCGACTGCGGTTCGCGTTCCAGACCCGGTGGCTTAAAACTCACGCCGGGCGCGTGTGCGTGCGTACCCAAGATCCCAAGAGGAGAATGGAGGAAAAGGGATTGCGGCGTGACCATCCCCCCTGGGGTGTGATTTCTCTCTTTCTGTCTCTAGGTCTCTGTCTGGCGAGCGCAAGCGCCCTATAGTGAAAACCTCTCAAAAAAAAAATTCCTTCAGAAAATGTTTGTTTTTCTAAGGTCCAATTGGTAAGAGCAGTTTATAGTAGTAATCCAGAAAAGCCCTAAGGATTACCAGCTTTTCTTATCCTTTAGTGTTCTGCTCACACTTGAACTCATTTACACTAAAATTTTATCTCACGCTTCATGGAGTGGGTAAGAAGAATCTGTATGTACATAATTTTCCATATGGTTAAATATACGATCAAGTTTTATTTTTCAAAGTCAGAGATGATTATGCTTTGATGTTTTCATTTTTCACCCCATAATTACTTTGAGCTTTTATTTTTAAGTGTTAGTACTGATTAAATATTACTAGTGAATGAAAAGAAAACATTCTTATTTTCATTACCAAATGTAAAAGCAGATTCTTTATTGTTTATCTGATTTAGTTGTATTCTAATTTAAGTCCTCATTGTACTATCTAGAATATTCTCTGAGCCCAAAATTTTATTTTGTAATATTTTGCTTGCCAGTAGGGAATATAAATGATTCAAATGTATCTTCAGTTCCTGGTTCTTGAGTATTCTTCTGCCTGACAAATTTTCCCTCTAGGAGATGCTTATGTTTGTCATGGAGTGCCATTTGAGTTTTTTGTGTTTTTTTTTTTTAAGAATTGTTTTATTTAAATCTATTTATTATTATTATCATTATGATTTTCCAGTTTGATCAGAGAGAGACAGAGAGGAAGTGAGAAAGCAAGCCACCAGGTCCCAGACTTGAACCGTGGTCGGCCATGTGGGAGTCCAGCGCTTTTAACCACCATGCCACTTGCCGGCCCCGACATTTGAGTGTTTTGATAACTAACCAAGTATTGTCAGTGATTTTAAAACTAAATGTAAAAATTCAGTCACAGTACATACTGTGCTGAACGCTGCAAGCTGAGGCCACATAGGAGGCCCAGGTTTGATTCCCAGTTGTTTACCCTAGGAAGCTGGGTGATTTTCCTGTTAAAATGTGGAGTACACCTATAGTCCCAGATACTCAGGAGGATTAGGCAGGAGGATTGGGAGCTCACAGCCAGCATGGTAATAATGCAAGACCCTGTCTGAGAGCTAGGTATGGTGGTTTGTACTTGTGATCCCAGCTATTCAGGAATCTGAAGCAGGAAGATAAGGACATAGTGAGACCGTTTCAAAAGAAACACACTATGCACACACGCGCGCACACACACATACATACACAGATATACATACCCAAAAGAAACAAAAGCACTAATTAGGAGTGGAAGTATCTTCTTTATGGTGTTAATTTGATAACAGAAATAGATTTTACTTTCAAACTGTTTTGTTTTCTGTTTATGATCTCTAGGATTTTCCTAAGCCCAGTGAAGAGAAGATTAAGTTGATTCTCAATCAAAGTGCCTGGACTTCTCAATCCAATTCTTTGGCATCTTGCTTGTCTAGACTTTCTGGAAAATCTGAAACTGGGAAAACTGGTCTTATTAACCTAGGAAATACATGTTATATGAATAGTGTTATACAAGCATTATTTATGGCCACAGAGTAAGTTTAAATTTGAACCTTTTAAAATTTTTAACTGTAGAAATCAATGCATGCAAACGGAATGGAGTGGAATTATCTGCACATTGCTTCTTATAAATGGTTTAAATGTTAACATTTCTAAATTATAATTGTCTTTTTCGGAATGAAATTGCTTTAGTGCCTAAGAACTATTGAAATGTTAGCTTATATAAATTATACACCATTTGTATAATGCATTGAATTTAGAATGTCACTTTTTTTAATTACTCTAACTTGATATTTAATAGTATAACAGAGTAGACAAAAGAGTTTGTCATATAGTTCTTCTTTGCTGTCATCCCGTAAGACAGTGTATTTTTCTTAATCTGTGTGTCTTTTGAATAAGCGACTTGTATTTTTATTTGCTTTTAAGTAAATATTTTGCTGTTTATCAGATCAGTGACTTCTTTGTTGTTTAAGAAGTTTAAACCCTGCTTCGCAACTCAAGTTAATAGTTTCTAAACAAATGTGTAAGTAGAGATGTCTCTTCACCCTCATATGAATCAAGTCTATTTTCTTTTGCAACCAAATAGGAAATCAGAAGTTATTAGGTAGATACTATCTCTGAAGGTATAAAATAGTGGTAAATTTTTGCCAAAGGTAAAACCATGGTAGAATTTTTCTCTTCAGTACCAATGAAATACTCATGGAACTTGTGCAATAGGTTTAAAAATTGAGTTCCAAGCTTTTGTAAATTGTTAGGCCAGCCTAGAGGAGTCAAACTATGAGACGTAGAGTAGGCTTTATTTCATTTTTGACCCCAGATTGTAGTATCAGCACTAAGGTATTTTCTTGGTTTGTTTTTGTGTTTGGTTTGGTTTGTATGTATTTGGAATTTTTCTTTTTTAAAAAAAAATAACTTTATTGAATTTTATCTATCTTATTAATTAATTAATTTTAATATGTCCAGAGAGAGACAGAGTGAGAAGGAGAGAGAGAGAGAAAGTGAGAAAGCAAGCCACCAGGTCCAGGACTTGAATCACAGTCAACCTTGTGAGAGTCTAACGCCCTTCACCACACCACCTGTTGACCCTAGAATTTTTTGTTTGTTCTTTAAGAAAAGGTATGCTCTTAGAGGCTAGCAGGCAGCATGGTGGTTAAGGCAGTAGATTCCCACATTACTGACTGTGTTTCGAGTCCCAGACCTGGCAGCTTGAAAATCACACCAGGCACATATGTGCACGTGCCCAAAATCTCAGAAGGAAAAGGGATTACAGAGTGGCCATCCCCCTGGGAGGTAATTTCTCACTTTTTCTCTGTCTCTCTCCCGGGAGCACACATGCCCAAAGGCAAACACCTTTTAAAAAAGTAAGAAAGAAAGGGTACTCCCTTAAACACCAAGTAATACTAGGAATAAGACTGAAAGAATCTGTATCTCACCACCAGAGGTCTGCTCTAGCCATCTCGTATAATAGATGACCCAGAAAGTAAAACCCAAAGCATGTGTGTCTTTCTCTGTCTTATTATTACTGGCAAGAGCAATTTCAAGACAGATCTTATTGTACAGAGGTCAGGAATACTTTCTTGCAATAGAAAGGCAACGTATTTTATTTCTTAAGTAATACATGAGTTCTCCATCTTGATTTTAAAAAGTTAAATCTAGCGCCAGCTCTATGCCACAGCAGAAATAATATTCCTTTGCTACCTGTTTTCTTCTAGTGATGCGATTCAGATTTGTTAATGTTTTATTTATGAGTTTTCATTTTATATAGTCAAATCTGCCATTTTTCACTTATAGTATCTGGATTTTAGAAAACCTTCACTCTTTAAATTCCGACCTTTTAAATATTAAGTAGTTTTTTATTTTACATTTAGCTCATTATTCCTATGTAGCATTCATAATAATGTACAGTCTGATCTAACTCAATTTTTTTTCCAAAAGGATATCCAATTGTTCCTCTACTAGTTTTTAAGTAGTATATTTTTTCTCATATTGTTTAAGTACCACATTCCTTAAATCACTCTATGTTTTGCTGAAAACATAATTGTTAATTTCATGCAAATTTGAAGAATTTAAAAGTTGCTTGCTTAAGTCTTTAATTTTTAGCTTAACCTATTTGCTAATCAAGAGAATAGATATTCTATGTGACGACAACACAGAACAGCCAGACCATGTAGTGAGTGTTCATTTATTATCATTCTCCCCTTCTTCAGTGCATTGTAGGTGGGTTAACTTTGTTAAGTAAAAAGGGCACTAGGTAAGTAAAGCTTTACTTTGAGGGTAATAAATCAGGTAAGTAAAGTTTTACTTTGAGGATAATAAATTCTTGAACAAACTTCTTTTTAGCTTTTAAGAAATGCCTTTTTTAAAGTTCATGTGTGTGTATACATGTATGTATAAATCATATTTTATTCTCTTTCAGTTTCAGGAGACAAGTATTGTCTTTAAATCTAAATGGGTGCAATTCATTGATGAAAAAACTACAGCATCTGTTTGCCTTTTTGGCTCATACACAGGTGAGTATATATGTGGGTAGTATGTAATGGTAACTATTGATAATATTCTTTAACTTTTGACTCATATGCAGGTGAGTATATATGTGTGTAGTGTGTATATAACTTTATTGATAATATTCTTTAAATGTCACATTATACCATACCTTTCATATTTCACGTAGCCTGCCCAACATCACAGATTCGATCAGAAATGCTAAAGACGGGGCCAGGCAATGATGTTTCAAGGTTCTGTGTTCACATCCTAGACCTCATTGAGTGCACTGGGTACATTCACACACGCCTGCCCATGATCTAGACCAGCAAAGACTAAGGGTGGATCATGGCTTGGGAGTCCTATTGGATTTGCCCATCTCTGTGTATGTGTGTATGTCTTTCTCTGTCATGAAGGAAGTAAATAAATATTGCAAAAGTAAACCAAAAATGGTTTATTTTTTAAAAAAGTAATATTAAAGAAACACTGCCAAATATATCTAGACATGAAGATATGCCCTAAGTTTTTATTTTTCACCACATTTTCTATTTCTATAGTTGAATATTATGCTGACCCATTGTTTCAGAAGTTATTACAAGTAATTCTAATTTCCTACACAGTAAATAAACTCCTTGATAAAGATATCTTTTTGAGTGCATCTTGAATAGTTTAGAGACGCTAGAGTGATAGATTTGTATAATAATGAAAACCTAATACAGTTCTGTGGTGTTCAGATTTCTTTTTTCTTCCTTTTCTTCAGTATATACTCTTGAATTACGACTAGAGCTAGCTATAGTTCTGTTTATCTTTTAAATTTTGTGATCTTTTATGTTCACAAATTAATTCAAAAGATGAATTTATGCTAATAGCAAGACAGGTACATAGAGTAAATATTTATTCATTCAGTTTCACTTTTGAGAGATACTATTTATATGCAATTTGTCATGAGCATTCAAAGAGGAATCCTAAACTTACAGTTTAGGTTTTGAGCATATACATATGAATAGTAGGTATCATTTATACATAATATATATTACTATTATCTTCTGATTTTACTCTGATTGCCTTTGTTTCACAGAAATCAAAAAGAGTGGCAGTTGGGTCAGAAGAAAAGTTTGATTGAGAATTGATTGGATTGAGTTGGTGTGAATGCTTTGTTCTTTATCTACCAACCGAGAAACACCTTGAGTCTAACGTCTTAAGTGGGCAGGACCAAGACAGGATGGACAAACCAGATAAAAGTGATGGCCTATGTGCAGTAATACACTCAAAGAGATAATTTTATTGTTCTTTATCTGGAGAAAATATGTTCACAAATTAAATTTAATGTATCAGGACTAGCAGAAATATACATACATACATTCATGCACATATATATTATACATATTTTTATATAAATACATATATATATCTATGTATGTATGAACTTACTAAATCAGAACAGTTAGAAAAAAATCTTAAGAGTTTTCCCTGCTCCCAAGAACTAAAGAAATAAATTAACAAGAGAAAGCCTCATTAAAGTTCTGTCATAGTGAGATCCTCTCTGGTAGCAAATGGACAAAGATTGTTTTTAGCAGGTAGATCTCCCCCTGTAATTGAAAATGTTTTTTTTCCCTTATAATTAATAAAGCTGACATTTATTGAATATTTTAAGTTTTTCTATCCCCTGTGCCAATTATTTTTATCTTTTAATTTTCAAAATCAGTCTTATCAGGTGAAGAAATCAGGCTTAAGTTCTTGCTCACAGTTATGCAAACAAGTAACAGGAATGGGATACGAACTAAACATCTCTGAAACCCATGGTCAACCACTGTGCTAAATTTCCATCCTTCAAAATGTCATAAACATTTCTATTTTAGATCAAATTTTCTTTAGCTGAGGACTCCATTGTTATATAATTGAACCATCAGGAAGATTTCAGATTTTCAAGTTATAATCACCTTTTTTCAGATTCCCTGTCAGTTCGTTGTGGCAAAACTCAGGATTTGAACCTAGATTACTCCAGAGTTCATGATCAACCACTAGACTAAACAGCCTCTCTACTTAAACAAACAAACAAAAAAACAGCAAGATCCCTAACCAGTGTGCTCACTTTCTGCACATTTGTGACATGTGTATTCTCTCAAGGGAATTCTCACCTGAAGTAGGTATGCATGACTTTGTAGAATACTCCCCTTTACTTCATCCAAGATAAATATTTATGAACATATTGTTTTTACATTTGGTTTTTCAAAAAATTTTGAACTTGGGACCAGCAAATAGCATAGCACTTACATTGCTGGACTCCCACATGGCCAACTGCGATTCAAGTCCCAAACCCAGTGGGTTGAAAATGACGCCAGGCATGTGTGTTCACCCCGGAGGAGAATGAAGGAGAAGGGATTGCACCATGGCCATGCCCACCCCGCCTGCCACACCCCACGCCCCCCACGTTCTCCACCCCCGTGAGCACACACCCCCTAAGGGAAAAATCTCATTTAAAAAAAAAAAAAAGTTGTGGACTCAGACACATCATTATCAGAGAGATCTAAAAGCAGGAGCATAATATCAAGAGTTAGAGACCTGGGTTCTAATGTAATCCTTCTCTCTCCCATTGAGCTGTATGACACAGTCTTTCTAGATCTTAATTTTTCACAGAGTGAGAAGTTAGGAATAAAGATTACTTAAGTTTATACCAATTTTATCTGCCTCTAAGTTGCCCCATTGCCTAGTACTTTTTATAATAAAGGTTCAGTACAATTTAATTTTAAGTAATCTTTTTAAACATATATTTAAATTTTAGTTACTTAGTTCACTTCCTTTTATTTTCTCTACTGCTCTCAAAAGAGGGAAGCATATGCACCTCGGATATTCTTTGAGGCTTCCAGACCTCCGTGGTTTACTCCCAGATCACAGCAAGACTGTTCGGAATATCTCAGGTTTCTGCTAGACAGGTAAAACGTACTTTCAAATTTTTTATTTGAATTATCTTTTTATATGGGTTTACTTTTACTTAATATTGCTTTTCCCCTTGAAGATGTATTTGAAGTGTTAATCTTTAAAATATCCATGCATTTATTGTGTTTTCAAACTTTTTAACATGGCTTTTATTTTAGATTCTCTCACTTGATTTTTGAGGCTTTTTTAGACAGTGTCTTACCATGTCACAGTCTTCCTGCCTCAGCTTCCCAAGGAGCTGGCACAACGGGCATATATTGCTGTGTCTAGCTTTTAGCATGTGCTGAGAGTGATTTCTTACGTTAGACCCAGCTGTTCTCAAAGTGTGATACAAGGACTCCTGGAATTCCCAAAACACTTTCAGGTTTCTGTCAGGCCTTCTCTTTCCAACTATAGATCTGTATGAGGCCAAATTTTCTTCATATATACTACATTTAGGAAAATATATAATAATAGATAGAAGACAGAGCAGCTGTCCTTTATGAAACCAGATACTTAAATTGTTTGCAAAAATCTGAAATAGTCCCATTCTTCTCACTCATTTTTTTGGTTTTAAGAAATAGAGCTATTTTTATTCTGAATGTTATTTATAAGTGTTATTTGTAGTTTTATAAGTGTTATTTATATTTATTAACATGTAATAGGCTTATTATTTTTTAATGTTTTAATATTTTACTTTTAGTCTCAGTTTTCCAATATAGTAAATAAATGAGAGAGTCTGCAGAAAGCTCACAGAAAATGCGTATTATGAAAACATTATGCCCGTGCGTAATTGTATGGGTTTGGTATATTTTACTTTCTCTTTACCACTTAATTAATAAAATCTAATATTATCTCCCCATCTGTGCTCCCCTCTATTGTATGAAGACTAGTAAAGTCAGTTGGTCTTCATATGTGCAGTCTTCCTTCTGTTCAGCCAAGGATATATTATTAATAGTAGTTTGTAGTTTCTTGATGCAAGCGAGACTCTCTTGGACGCCAGGCAGATAGATATGTAAGACAGTTAAGGAACATATATGATAAACTGTAATGTTGTAAGTGCTGTAAAATAGCAGTATGAACAAAATACAATGACAGTATAGAGTAGTAATAGCCCCCCAATTTGTCTACATTCATTTAAATTTTAGTTACTTAGTTCACTTCCTTTTATTTTCTCTACTGCTCTCAAAAGAGGGAAGCATATGCACCTCGGATATTCTTTGAGGCTTCCAGACCTCCGTGGTTTACTCCCAGATCACAGCAAGACTGTTCGGAATATCTCAGGTTTCTGCTAGACAGGTAAAACGTACTTTCAAATTTTTTATTTGAATTATCTTTTTATATGGGTTTACTTTTACTTAATATTGCTTTTCCCCTTGAAGATGTATTTGAAGTGTTAATCTTTAAAATATCCATGCATTTATTGTGTTTTCAAACTTTTTAACATGGCTTTTATTTTAGATTCTCTCACTTGATTTTTGAGGCTTTTTTAGACAGTGTCTTACCATGTCACAGTCTTCCTGCCTCAGCTTCCCAAGGAGCTGGCACAACGGGCATATATTGCTGTGTCTAGCTTTTAGCATGTGCTGAGAGTGATTTCTTACGTTAGACCCAGCTGTTCTCAAAGTGTGATACAAGGACTCCTGGAATTCCCAAAACACTTTCAGGTTTCTGTCAGGCCTTCTCTTTCCAACTATAGATCTGTATGAGGCCAAATTTTCTTCATATATACTACATTTAGGAAAATATATAATAATAGATAGAAGACAGAGCAGCTGTCCTTTATGAAACCAGATACTTAAATTGTTTGCAAAAATCTGAAATAGTCCCATTCTTCTCACTCATTTTTTTGGTTTTAAGAAATAGAGCTATTTTTATTCTGAATGTTATTTATAAGTGTTATTTGTAGTTTTATAAGTGTTATTTATATTTATTAACATGTAATAGGCTTATTATTTTTTAATGTTTTAATATTTTACTTTTAGTCTCAGTTTTCCAATATAGTAAATAAATGAGAGAGTCTGCAGAAAGCTCACAGAAAATGCGTATTATGAAAACATTATGCCCGTGCGTAATTGTATGGGTTTGGTATATTTTACTTTCTCTTTACCACTTAATTAATAAAATCTAATATTATCTCCCCATCTGTGCTCCCCTCTATTGTATGAAGACTAGTAAAGTCAGTTGGTCTTCATATGTGCAGTCTTCCTTCTGTTCAGCCAAGGATATATTATTAATAGTAGTTTGTAGTTTCTTGATGCAAGCGAGACTCTCTTGGACGCCAGGCAGATAGATATGTAAGACAGTTAAGGAACATATATGATAAACTGTAATGTTGTAAGTGCTGTAAAATAGCAGTATGAACAAAATACAATGACAGTATAGAATAGTAATAGCCCCCCAATTTGTCTACATTCTTGAACAATTCAATATACTTCTTAATTAAATCAGGAAACATGAGATACTTTTTAAATTAGGTATTATATTTGATGAAAATATTTTGGCTATTAATAAACCATCAATGTTTTTAAATATAAATGACATCTAAACTTAAGTGAAGTTGCTATATAATGCTCTACTGTCCTGCAGGCTCCATGAAGAAGAAAAGATCTTGAAAGTTCAGTCCTCACACAAGCCTTCTGAAAACCTGGGGTGCAGTGAAACTTCTTTACAGGACATAGCCAGCAAGGCAGCTGTACCAACAGAGACCCCTTGCACAAGTGATGGTGAGAAGACTTTAATAGAAAAAATGTTTGGAGGAAAACTACGAACTCACATATGTTGTTTAAACTGCAGGAGTACCTCACAAAAAGTGGAAGCCTTTACAGATCTTTCACTTGCCTTTTGTCCTTCTTCTTCTGTGGAAAATTTGTCTTTCCAAGATCCATCATCATCACCCAGTATTCAAGATGGTCTAATGCAAGCCAGTATACTTGATCCTTCAGAAGAACCAATAGTTTATAATCCAGCAGCAGCTGCCTTTGTCTGTGACTCGGTTGTGAATGAGCAGACGATCACTAGTCCTTCTGATGAGTTTCACTTTACTGAAAACACTTCTGTCCCTACCGAACCTAACAAGATTCTTATTAATAAAGATGTACCTCAGAAGCCAGGAGGTGAAAACACACCTTCAGTAACTGACTTACTAAATTATTTTTTGGCTCCAGAGATTCTTACTGGTGACAACCAATATTATTGTGAAAACTGTGCCTCTCTGCAGAATGCTGAGAAAACTATGCAAATCACGGAGGAACCTGAATACCTTATTCTTACTCTCCTAAGATTTTCATATGATCAGAAGTATCATGTTAGAAGAAAAATTTTAGACAATATATCACTGCCACTAGTTTTGGAGTTGCCAGTTAAAAGAACTACCTTCTCTTCCTTGTCAGAAAGTTGGTCTGTAGATGTTGATTTCACTGATATTAGTGAGAACCTAGCTAAAAAATTAAAGTCTTCTGGGACTGAAGAAGTTTGCTGCCCAAAATTGGTGCCCTATTTATTAAGTTCTGTTGTCGTTCACTCTGGTGTATCCTCTGAAAGTGGGCATTACTACTCTTATGCCAGAAACATCACAGGTACAGAGTCTTCATACCAGATGTGCCACCAGTCTGAAACACTGGCATTAACATCCTCCCAGAGTCATTTACTAGGGGGAGAGAGTCCCAGTGCAATTATTGAGCAGGATTTGGAAAATAAGGAAATGTCAAAAGAATGGTTTTTATTTAATGACAGCAGAGTGACATTTACTTCATTTCAATCAGTCCAGAAAATTACCAGTAGGTTTCCAAAAGACACTGCTTATGTGCTTTTGTATAAAAAACAGAACAGTACTAATGGTTTAAGTGATGATAATCCATCCAGTGGACTCTGGGTAAATGGAGACCCACCTTTACAGAAAGAACTTATGGATGCTATAACAAAAGACAATAAACTATATTTACAGGTAAGTTGGAAATACAAACTTAATTCTTCATGGCAATATTAAATAGTTGATAAGTATTTAAGCGAGTGCCCTAATTTTGAAATTCCGTGTAACTTTAAAATCTCCATGGAATTCTGAAACTTGAGTCTAGATTTATATGAAGTGAACTCAACCTATATAATTAAGTCATCTTACTCTCTACATGTTAACAAATTATTTAAAATGGCAATTAGATACAATACAGAAGACCATATTTGCTTTTTAACTAAAAAGATTTGCTAATGATAAAATCATGTCATATGGAAATATAGAAAGTTTAATAAAATGGAAGTATCTTCCCTCTTTCCTTGAGTCTCATCCTCCAGAAGTAACTGGTATATTTGGTGGTTATTCCAACAAGACCTTTGTGTAAATATTTTAATGGCTATTTATTGGTACTCAAATGAATAAGATAAAGAACACTAAATAGTAGAATATATGTTTATATCTTAAAGAATTATTTACTTTATTTATTTATTATTATTATTTTTTAATTTGGACAGAGAGAAAGGGAAAGTGAGACAGCAAGCCACCATATCCAGGACTTGAACTATAATCACCCATGTGGGAGTCCAGCACCTTCATTACCATATCACCTGCTGGCCCAAAATACATATTTTAAAAGAGTATTTGTATTCTTTGAGGATCTGGACAATAAACCAAGGAGATAGATAATAGAATAATTAGTAAAGAAAAGCCATAGGGTAAACATTTCATATGAAATTAATGTATTTATAATATACTTTTTTTCAAGAGCAAGGGATTTCATTACTTTAAAGTTAATGAAGGCCTTGTAGAAAGTATATTTCTTTGGAACCTGCCAACTTGCTATCAACACAAAGGACCAGCAGTAAATTATATGTGAAATTGCAGGAAAGGAAACTCTAGGTATACTAATTACATATTCCAAGTGATTTTATGAGTTTAAATGAGTAAATTTGTAAAAAATGTTGTGTTTTGAAGTCACGGAACTCCTAAAAGGTACGTACAGAGTAAAGAGAAGAAATGGGCCACTAGAGTACTAAATATTTAGAGATTTTTTTAAAAACTGATTTACTACCAAAGGTTAACAGCCAATTAGACGACTTATGATCAAGATGATAAAAATATTAGGTTGTCAGGAAAGTCATGATGTATTTTTCTATGCAAAAATGGGTTATTTCCCTGATGACCCAACAGAATATACTTACCTATGTTCCTTGCTTGGTATCATACAAGCACTAGTTATTCATCATAATTCTTGAAGATTGGATATGGAATGAAGGGAAGAGAGTGAGGGTGAAATAAAATTATTTAATACAACATAGAGACAGTAAGGTCCTATTTGGAGGAGGGATACAGAGACAGAGCATTGACGGGACGGGGAGGTGTGGCGTTATCTGTTGAAGATATTTTGATCAACTGGACTGGGGAGAAATGTTCACATATTGAAATGTTCACTTCATAAGCTAAACAATGTCATTGAATGTATATAAAAAATAAATTAATTAAAAAAAAAGAGAGTAAGGTCTAGTGCAATCTTTGGGAGATATTCAAGAGATTATTATATATCATTGAAAAGATGAAAGATTTATCAAAGGAGAGATGTGGGTTTTCGAAGTTGAGAAACTGATTTCTGTGATTGGAATGCCACACACTTTTATAGAAACAATAGCTACTTATATTGCACCCTAACTCTAGATGACTTTACAGTTTAACCATCTTGTTTTTTACCCCATATTATCCAGATGATATGGTATCTGGGCATGAGAAACCATTCTCTTGATTATTGTTTTAAAGCTTTTATGTTACTGTAAAGAAAAGTGTTACATATTTTGTGAATTTAGCTTTTGAGTATTATGTGTTTGGTCTAAATTCTGTCATCCTAAGTCTCAGATTAACAAGTTATTTAATGCAAAAAAGATATTGCTTGATTTTCCAGTATCTACTTACCTATATTAATACTTCCATTATCAAAGTACTTCTTTAACACAAATTATAATAATAAACAACTGTTATTAATTAGGAATTTTAATATATTTTCAATTATTTTTAAGTACGATACTGTAATCAATAAAGGCTTTAATTGTGAGTTTTCTCATACCATTTTAATCAAATCATTCTAGTATTTTAAGTATGTGTTAAGAAAGTATATTGTTGGGACCAGAAGATGGCATAATGGTTAGTTACGTCACTGGACTTCCACGTGGTTGACAACAGTTTAAGTCCCAGACTCGGTGCTTAATACTCCCAGTACACTGGTCATGTGTGTGTGTGTGTGTGTGTGCCCAAAATTCTGAGAGCATAATAGAGAAAATGGGATTGTACCATGGCCACCCCCCCTGGGGGGTGATTTCTCACTTTCTGTCTCTCTGTCTTTCTGGTGAGCACATGTACCCTATAGCAAAAACTCTCTAAAAAAAAAAGAGAAAAAGAAAGACTACATTGTTTATTCCATTATAACAATGTATGTATTTTCATAATTGCCAGACAAGTTTTGAGATTTTGTATACAACAGTTTTCTTTTTTTTTAAAGAATTATTTTATTTAACTTTATTTATTATTATATCATTATTATTTTTCAGTTTGATCAGAGAGAGAGAGAGGAAGTGAGAAAGCAAGCCACCAGGTCCGAGACTTGAACCGTGGTCGGCCATGTGGGAGTCCAACACCTTTAACCACCACGCCACTTGCCGGCCCATATACAACAGTTTTCCACTATCATTTTTTAGTTTTGAACACATGGAGCAAGTATGTGTATGTTTTCCTTCATATGCCCGTTTTGTTTTTACACCCATTTTTGAGATTTAGTTCAAGATTTGTGCCCATTTCATAGCCAGTACTTCATGGCAATGAAACCACTACACAGCGCTAGACATAACCGGTACAGTAGCTAGAATATAACTTGAACTTTAAGATAATAGCATTATACCTGTTTATAGGACACTTATAAAAGCCTAATCAAATAGTGAAAGTAAGGACGTAGAGGGAAATTTTGAGTTTCTTTGCTCTATTTTTTTTTTTTTGGAGAGATTTTCACTGTAGGGTGCGTGCGCTCGCCAGACAGACAGAGAGAAACATAGAGACAGAAAGCGAGAAATCACCCCCCAGGGGGGGTGGTCACGCCGCAATCCCTTCTCCTCCATTCTCCTCTCAGGATCTTGGGCACGCACGCACACGCGCCCGGCGTGAGTTTTAAGCCACCGGGTCCGGGACACGAACCGCGGTCGACTACGTGGGAGTCCAGTGACATAGTCATTACGCTGACTGCTGGTTCCCGAGTTTCTTTGCTCTTGAGCAGTATTGCAGATGAATTTACAATTTTAGTACATACCCAGTTAACTCTTTTTTTAATACTTGATAATATTAGAAATTGACCTGATGATAATTTTAAGAACCTTTCCCCAGGATTCCATTTTTAAATTTTAAATGTAGCTACGACTAGATTTGAAAGTGTTGGAAAATGTTGCTCTTTTTACTATTGGCAAGATTTGTGGTTTTGCTTTGTTTTGTTTTTAGAGAGATTTTTGCTATAAGGTGCATGCCCCAGAGAGACAGAAAGTGAGAAATCACCACCCACCAGAGATGGTTACTCTGCAGTTCCTTCTCTTTCATTCTCCTCTTGGGATTTTGGGCATGCATGTACACGCACCCAGCATGAGTTTTACGCTGCAGGATCCAGTACTTGAGCCATGGTCAACTACATGGGAGTTCAGCAGCGTAGACAATATATCATCTGCTGGTCCCAAGATTTGTGGGTTTGGAAAATCCAGGCCACAAAAATACAATGTGGCAAATCATTTTCTACTCTGTGGATCATAACTGACACTCAAAAAAATAATATAAATTGTGGTCTTAAAATTTTTCTGTTTCTTTCTCTTCATTCCAACTTCTGTTAGGAAGATCTGTATTGTTTAGTGTCTGAATTACAAAAACTGTACCTTTAATTTGGATCTAGTGAGAGAAAGGTAGTTTAAGTACCACCCCTGTCGCGTCATGAAGATTCCCACCTCATCTGTCTTGAACTACAGGCAAAGGTTTCTATTTGCTCTTCCTTGGTTTTTGCCCTTTGTTTCTTTGGAGGAGGTGGTAGTTTAATTTCTTAATTATTTTTCATTATGTACCAGAAGAGTATATATGTGCAGTTTAAAGAGAAATTTAAAAAACAGTGTTTTACTTGAATCTAAATATACTTGAAGTATTTGCCCCAAAGCATGAGTAACCCCTTTCCGTACACCTACAGTCTACTACAATAAGAATTAATTTTAATATTGATATAAACTTGTAGTATAAATGGTATACAGTATGAAAATTATAATTTTTACATAGGGCACAGTGTCATCTATATTAAAAGAAGTAAGATTAAAAACTAATTTCTTTCTACTTCGATCCATTGTTTAAGCTTCCTTTGGAAAACAGAATATCAAACTTTTTCCCCTTCCATCAGTGATATATTTATATAATAAAACAAAAATTAAAAAATAAATTCTTTCTTTGGATGATCTAAGTCTTGACATATAGTATAGGTTTCATGAGTGTCAAGCAATGCAGTTATTAATTTTGTATTTTATGTATCCTTCAGCATAGCTTCTGGGGAGTCACTATAATAAATGTAGGCAAAATTCACTGTATCTTTTCAGAGATACATGAATGCCACCTTATACATACTCCTTTCAGCCATAAAAATACCTGATTCTCGGTCACTTTGTGTATCTGGAGTCATACAGCCATTGCTATCCACTACTCACAAGTAAGGTGTCATAATGTAAGGGAAAGATATCAGGATATGCCTGACTCTCTTCCGTGTGAATACTTGAGCATCTGAATAGTTAACTAAAACAATTTAACAGGAGATTATTAAATAATATTGCCTTATCAGGTAAAACCAAGTCTCTTAAAGTTGAGAAATTATACTTTTTGTTTTTCCTGTGAACTGTATTAGAAAGTCCTTCAGGATCCTTATGCTAGGAACTTAAAAGCTATGTTGTTACCAGTGGCTTTTAGACCTTCCTGTCCTCAAGCTCCATTTGAAAGCTATAGACCCTCTCTCAGAAAAAGAGGCACATGCCAGTATATTTACAGCTTGCCAAATGAACATGCCATTATTGATTCACATTTGCTCCCTTTGAATCTGAGCTCCTAATAGTGTTCTGGCACGTAGATGAATGTAACTGATTCCTGATAAAACTGCTAACAATATGATAGGGGAAAAGTACTGCTATAAAGACAGAAGGCTTCACTTATCAGTGTTTTCTGAGTTCTGACTTCCTATGTATTGAGAAATAATTGGGTAGAAAAATATTCAGGCTTTTATACTTGCTTATACCTTTTTCTGTAATTACCCTCCTTCCAAAATAGCCCCAGTTGGAAGAGAGTAGATAATCCATTGTGAGAACCTTTGATTTCTACACTGTATATATTAGAAAAGAAATCCATTTCTGTGTATATTAAAGAGTGATATAGAGGCTGTAATCATTTTTGTGGAGAAATTTTATGACTTAGGGGCTTCAGTTTCCTCTCTTATAAAGTGAGGTAATGAAACAGAATGGCTTTTAGGAGCTGTCATCCTGTGGTGTTAAATCAGGATTGTACTCTGCCTTGTTTGCTCCATGGCAATCATGTAGGATTTGGTAAGGATTGAGACAGTACTTTTAAAGTTACTGAGATGTGAAGGATACTTACTGAGAATTAACACAGTTTTTAAATATTTGTATAGGTTATCATGTACCCATTCATTGTATTTAAGCATTTTAACTGCATAATTTTTATTTTATGGGTTTTTTTTTTTTTTTTTTTAATTCTAGGAACAAGAGTTGAATGCTCGAGCCCGGGCCCTACAAGCTGCATCTGCTTCCTGTTCATTTCGGCCCAATGGATTTGACGACAATGACCCACCAGGAAGCTGTGGACCAACTGGTGGAGGAGGCGGAGGAGGATTTAATACAGTTGGCAGACTCGTATTCTGATCCTGAGAGAGTCCAAAATGCACTGGTCACCAAGCATTCAATACTATGACTGTTAAAATGGCAGATAGTAACAAATATCATCTATCTTTAATTTTTCTTTTCATTAGACCCTTATACTTTAAGAAAACACACTCAGTGCTTTATTTTATTTTCTTGACAATACATTTTTTTAACAAAATGCATCATGGGAAAAAAATCTACCTCTTTAAAATCCATTTGTTTTTATGGTTAGATGTGCTTAACCAAAAATGTTCAAAGGAAAATATGTACCTGGTCCCTAATTAAGCTACATTAAATTTGGTAGAATCATTTAAATGGTTTATCTTCAGTTCTACTGAACGAAAAAATAATTCATTTAGCATCTTTTATAAAAACATTGATTAAAGAGGTGAGGGAAATATTGTTTTAAAAAGAAAATTCTTTATTTCATATATAGTTATCCCATTATTAAATTCAATTTTTTGAAAATAGTGGAGATGATAGTCTCCAATGAAGGCAATAACAAAATTTATCAAGCTATAGTATTTTTCAGGTTTTTGTTTAGTGCTACCCTTCAGCATCCCTGAATCTGCATTTCAAGTACAAATGTTTTTAAAAAGGATTATTTATACATACGTGCTGAATTGATTTTAAGAAAGGTGCATGATCCTGTAGGAGCAACATTTTTACCTAAAACTTGCTAACTTTGTAGTATTTCTAATTGTCAAGAATTTTAAAATTCTACTTCAGGGAGTATATCTTCTGTGTGTTTTGAGGGAGGTGAATTCTGTATGTGCCTTGCAGTACTGTAATTCAAAAATTGGAATCTTTGGCTGCAGAAAAGTTTTTTAAAAAATGTAATGTTAGAAGTAGTTTTCGTGCTAATATTAAAATTCTAACTTTTTGAAAGGTCTTAGATTTTCCAAAAGTAAAATCTGATGGTTCTAAATCAATTAAGTGTAATAGCTCATTTTTAACTCTTAGAAGAATTCAGAGAAAATGAACATAGTTAATTTAAAAAACAATCGATTTTGTTACTTAATTCTCAGATAATTAAACATTGATCCCATAGTGGTAGTTGTTCATTTGAGTTTTTGTTTGTCTATCAGATGTTTTGCCCAGTTGTTTCTATTTCATAGTTTCAGATAAAGTATTAAAATGCCAAACCCTACCATCCCATATTTTCTTTTGCCAGGAAACTGGAAACTTGTCAGTTTTCCTAAATCTTGATTATACAGTATGCAAGAATCATCCCAGTTGTCTCCCTTCCTAGAGATTCTAACGTATCCTTGGTTATGCATTGTTGTGAAGGTTGGTCTCATATTTATTTTGAAAACATCCTAAGGAAAGAATGTTCTTTGGTGATTAGGTTTTTATCTTTTTCCCAAGCTTTTATAGCAGTGGTTAAAACCAGAACTCCTCGTCTTCATTCCACTACCTCACACTCCTAACCTGTTTCTAGTCACAAAGAAGATTAGGAAAACAGATTGGATTACAAACTGGAAAGTCTTTGCAGAATTAATCAAGGTAATCTCATTACCTATAAGTGAATAATTTTTATCTTGCTTTCCCCTTGTCTCAATAGTGAATTTTGTAGGCTACTCATATGTTCAGTTATCCACTGACTAGATAGTTGTTTATAGTCAGATTATATCAGTCACAACATTTACTAAAATTGATAGTTATTTAATATTATGATTGATTAATATGGGTGAACATCTAGGAATTTTCATGAAGGCAGTTAGATCTTCACAGTTTTGTCTGTGAATACCAAGTCTTTTAAAAATTTTCTGTGTTATGATAACATATACCAAATTTTCAAAATGATTAAAAAATTAAAAAGGTGGTATTTGTGGCCAGCAAGTGGTGTGGTGGTTAAGGTGCTGGACTCCCATATGGCCAACCAGGGTTGACATCCTGGGCCTGGATGCTTGAAAATCATGCTGGGCATATGTGCCCAAAATCCCAGGGGGAGAATGAAGAAGGAATTACCCCGCATGTGGCGGGGTAATTTTGCACTTTCCCACCTCTCTCTCTCTCTCTCTCCCCCCCCCTCCAGTGAGGCACATGCCCTATAGCAAAAACTTTAAAAAAAAAAAAAAAAAAAACAGAAACAGAAAAAAAGGATGAAATTCTAGCTATATAGGACTGATACTATTCAAATTATGACTTGATACCAATACCAAAAACAATGAATGGTGTGGACTTCCTTTTAAGTCTAAAAATATAGTCACGTTAGGATCAGTTCCATGGGGCAGCAATAATGTTCTGCTTCAGAGAAACCAGACTGCATGGCAGCTGCAGCTGGAATCTGCATCCCAGACAGCCTGAAACACACCAGGCATCCATGCAAGTGCCCAAGATTGGATGGGCCAAAGAGGAAAGGGGTCACAGCGTGACCAGACTGGACAGTGTTCATTTCTGTCTCTCTTGCTTATTCTCTCTTGTGTGCACAATCATGAATAAAGAAACAAAATTTCAATGTATAGTAACTTTAGTTATTTGTCAAATTTAACACATTCAGGACCAGGATAATCAGAATCTTCATTCAGAAACTATCCAGCTGAGCTCTGATCCTAGCAAGATCCATGTTAGTTTTCAGATGTATTTGCCATATCAGGTCTCTTCTCCGTATTCCTAACCCTGTACTTTCCCTGCATTTTGCAGATGTTATGAGGTCTGACTTTGAAGGCTGACTAGAGTACTAGTATTCTCTCTCTTTGTTGCTCTGTGGCCAAACTAAAAAAAATAATGATGATGATGAATACAATTAAATAAAATAATTCTTAAAAATAAAAAACAGCATTAGGCTTCACTATTAACAAATATTGAAAACTTTCAAAGATGCTAAGGGACACAGTGAGAAAAGTGGGATTTTTTTTGAGAGAGATACAAAGAAGAAAATGCTGTATCTGTTGCATGATCATGCGAGCCCTTGTAACTGGTCCACTTGGCAGGGATGACTACACTGCAGTTCCTTTTCCATTCTCCTCGGAATTTTGGACACACACACACACACATACAGCATGATTTTCAAGCTGCCACGTCTAGAACTTAAATTACATAGTTAGCCATGTGAGCTTCAGCACCTTAACCTCCATATTGACTGTTGTACCTAAAGCTGTCTTCTTATAAGGGATTTGGAGGCTTATGGTATGTTCAGCACATTTGAAGAATAATATTTATATAGTCTGTGATTATTAGAAATCACCATTTTGATGTTTCTGGTTAACTCTCAGTGTATCTCTTTATGTGATTTTGAACTTCACATAATACATTCTATACAAACAGCACATTAAAGAAAAATTCATTTATATATAGTTTATTTTCCTGTAAGAATGTTATACTTTACATATCCTTTTTGTCTGATTCGTTTCTAATGAGTTTAGAATTCTAAAACTACATATTCCTGAAATAGAGAAGGAAAAGTTTTTACAAAAATGCATTAGGAAATGTTCATTGCTATTAATAAGTAGCATCACCTGGAGGAGAAAAGTTAAATCTTGGATAATGTGATGCTGTAACTAAGGTTAAAGTATAGCAGCAAAATATATAAATATAACAATGAAACTTTAAAAATATGTGTGTGTGTGTGTACACATATATTTTAAACCTTTATACTTATAAAATATAAGCTATTCCATATCTGTATTCTTAAGCATTTCCCAAGCTGTCATATAACACTTCAGTGTTAGCCTTATTTTGTTTTACTTAGTTAATTTTCTTCCAGTTCTTTTTTGGAAGTAATTGACCTCAAAAGGGAAATTTTAAAAATAAGCATTCAGAGTAAACAGTGTTTTAAAAATAAAATTAGCTTTAAAACTGCAACTTTCCCATGTAAAAAGAAATTGCTATAGATGTAATTTTTAAAGAAATGCAATCAAAATATTTTTTATAAAATAAATAATCTTGGTTGCACAAATTCAATGACTGTTATATAAAACCTTTAGCCCCAATGTTATATAACTGGTGTGGATTTTAACATTAAAAATAGAATCTAAGTCAGCCAAGTGTATTGCCAGCTCTCGCCAGTGTCTGTTAAGGCCTGCAGTTGTTTTTCTCTTAATAGATCTCCTGTTTTCATGTTTTGTTTTGTGATACACACACACACACACACACACACACACACACACACACACACACCCTTATCTTGATTTCAGAGGATAAAGGTTAAACTTACCCGACTAGATCAACAGTTTTCAACCTTGCATTCATACAATTACTTAAAGAGCTTTTAAGAAATAATACTATACACAAGCCTCATCCTAGATCGCTTAAATGATGTAGGAACCAGAAATCAACATTTTTTGAAGTTCCTAGTGTGATTTTTAATGTGCATTCTGGCTTGAGAACTTTTGGGCTAGAAAAATAACTTTTTCCTAGGGCTTTTATCCAAGTGGGCTTATACCCATACCCTCCCTCACCCCTTTTTGGATAAAAAACGTAAAGACTAAAATTAAAGAGTTTGCATCATGCAGCTAGTAAGAATCAGAACTGAGATTTTAGCCTAAGTCTTTAGAATTAGAGTTCAGTGCTCTATTAGGGGAAAATGAGCTACAGACTTGAGCAAATTACATATTAATAAAGACCTACAATAAATTTTATGAGATAAAATTTCTACATTCTGTTTTATTTATTGTTTTGCACTTCAAACTGATTCCTTTTATTAAATTTTTTTTAAAGTGAGATCTACATTATTTTAATCATATGTGGTCATCAAAGGGTTGAAAAACATGGTTCCTAGCAAATGCATTTGCTACACCTGTCTGCAGTTTCTTCTTGCTTTACTAACCTCATCTTTTCCATCCTTGCCTTTCCATTCTTCCTCCATCGTATTGGTTCTTGCATCAGTTTTACTCAGGTTTATGTACTTGCCATCACTACGCCTTTGTATGTGCAGGTCTCAATATAGCTTATCGTTCCCCTGATGGCCTCTTTCTCCTCCCAGCTTTCAGTTGACTAATTCCTGCTCACTTTTCAGTGTGCTAAAGTCTTCATGCCAACCTCCTGAACTACTTTTATCCTGGGTTGTGTTTTATACTTCTCTTTGAAAAGGCCATGACTTAGTAGTGGAGCTGAATTAGCCCTTAAGTAAAGTCTAATTTTTACACCCAACAAAAATTAAAAGCAAGCCTTGAAAGGTTCAAATGCATCTGTGAGTTATTTAACTCCATACAGAAAACAGTCTAACACTCCCTAAAGTAATGCAATAAACTCAGAACTTATGAAACTGAAATTCACAGTATTCAGCAACTGATCAAAAATTATCAGGTACTGGGAACCAGCAGTTAGCGTAATGGCTATGTCGCTGGACTCCCACGTAGTCGACCGCGGTTCGTGTCCTGGACCCGGTGGCTTAAAACTCACGCCGGGCACGTGTGCGTGCGTGCCCAAGATCCTGAGAGGAGAATGGAGGAGAAGGGATTGCGGCGTGACCATCCCCCCTGGGGGGTGATTTCTCGCTTTCTGTCTCTATGTCTCTCTCTGTCTGGCGAGCGCACGCGCCCTACAGTGAAAATCTCTCCAAAAAAAAAAAAATTTATCAGGTACTCAAAGGAGAAAAATATAACTCATATACAGGAGAAAAACTAATCAATAGAAACAGATCCAGAAAATTAGGAAGATGAAGGAATGTACAAACTAGGATCTTAAAAGGAATATACAGTAAAACATGAACACAACGAAGAGAAGTAGAAGATCCAGGAATTCAGCAAACCCCAGCAAAATAAACAACCAACCATACCAAGGCACATCATAACCAAATTATTTAAGGACAGTGATAAAGAGAAACTCTTAAAAGCAACTGAGAAAATGAACATAACAACTTGTAGAACTGAGGTTGGCAAACTGTAGCCCTTAGGCCAAATCTCTTATGTCTCTTCTTTTTTTTTAATAAAGTTTTATTAGAACTCTGCCATTTCTGTTTGCTTACATATCACCGATGACTGTTTTCACACTACAGTGGCAAAGTCAAGTAGTTATGATCAACACCACATAACCTACAAAACCTAAAATGTTTTACTAGAGAACAAAATAGGAAAAGTGTGTGACATAGGGAAAAAAAGTCATTAAAATATGCAAGTTAGAAAATAGTGGAATAACATCTAAAAGGTGTTGGAAGAAAGACAAGAAAAAATAGTGAATATCCACTGTAAGTGAAAATCTTATTGAAAGTGAAGGTGAGATATTTTCAGATAAGCTGAATTTTTCCTTGAGTGCTCACACTATGAGATAATGTTGAAATTTTTCAGACTGAAGGAAGATGACACCAGATGGAAACAAATGAAAGAACAGTGTCCTGAAAATGAATTTGGCATGATAGGCTCAATTTATAGGATATGCAGGAAAGGAGGGACAGCTTTGGAAAACTCCAGACTCACACTGTGCCCAAGAACAGCAATTTGGACCTGCCACAGTCATCAGGCATCAAGCACACACCATAGGGCAGACAAAAATATTCCCTTCCAGGAAAAGAAGTACGGACCAAAGCAGGGATGTGGGCCAGCCACCTGTTTATCTGTGTGGGA